TCTGTAAATCTGTGTCTAGGTTCTTGATCTCAGCAGCCATCTTCACATGCCTTTGTAGAAGACCTTCCAGATTGGATTGTTCCACCTGAAATCCACGTGAGTAGTGAGCATGAGCATCATACTCTTAGGTATCGGGACTAACAAACTAATCATGATATTATGACATACTAATTTACGCTTTCAACAAACGCTATTACACTAGCAATAGCATATTAGGGTAGGTAGTTTGGGCCCAAAAAATCCTGCCAATTTTCAGTAATGGCCTATTTTTAAATTTCTGTGAAATTCTGGCAAGCATATAGCCCTTTGGTCACATCCAATACAGTTTTTTACCAAACCTTGGTTAACTCATTGCCTCATCAGTATTAGAAAAAACTTGAACAAAATTCCAGCTAGCCAATCATTTAACAAGGTCAGTTGAAGGCACAAATCAAAGATATCCTAGGTCCATATAGAAAAAGGGTCAAAACCATTTCAGCTTTCTTATAAAACCATTTGCAGCAATCCAAGTATGGAACAGTGTGAATAACTCAAGCCATTCAAGTGAAAATGGCAAGGCATGCAACAAATATATGCAGAAAAAGGCCATTCGAGTGATAGGTCATGCTAAATTTCATATAATCAGAATGCCAGTAAGCTACGTACAGAACAGAAAAGTGATAATATAAAAAGGTAATACCAGTGTAAACTACGTAGCATAAACAAACTATATGAGTAAACTGAAACTATAAAAAGGTAATGCTACTGTAACAAGTAGTCTAACTCTAACTACATAAGTAGCATGGCAATAAATTTAGTCTTTCTAATTCACATCATTCATGTGTCTAGATCCCAAACTCTAAGGATACTTGTGCAGCATAACTCAAATATGCTGCATGGAAATGCTCCTAGTTAAAATAAATATGATTGAGATCTTAGTTATAAAAAAAAAACAATCTAGACTTGTGTGCAAAATTCAACAGTGTAGTTATGCAGCAAGCACACTATGTACATACTGATAGAAGTGCTCTAATGCACAATTTCAATTGCATCTGTTTTGTAAACTTGCTACAATTCATGTTATGTATTTAACTCACTGCCTTATCATCTCTTGAGGATTCTATTTCCTGAGCACAATTACATTTATAATGACAAGATAAAAGGACGTACCCAGTGCAGAGAGCTCCCGCTCTGTGCGGGGTCTGAGGAAGGGTGTCAGTGGCAAGCCTTACCCTCGCCTGTGCAATGCGAGGAGACCGCGACTCGAACCCGGGACCTTCCGGTCACAGGCGGTAAGACTCTACCGCTTGCACCAGGCCCGCCCTTCTTATAATGACAAGATACTGGAACAAATTTCACCCAAAACTCAACTCCATGAGCTACGCACACATCAGAAATTTTAGCAACATATACACAAATTGCACAACCGACTGTGTTTAAATACAAAAGTTAACAGCATCATAGGATATGACGTTTTGGCTCAGTTGATCTCGAGACAAACGCGATATGCACTAATCAGGTCAATTCCAGAAAGAGATTAGTAAATTCAGGGTTATTACAGACCAAAGTTCATCACATCCATTCAAAGTCTACGCAACAGGTTCCCAACTATACTATCCGACCGAGAAGCAGGGAGCTGGATCTGAGAGACCAGGAAGAGGGACGGAGTGGGGATCAGACACGGGCACGAACCAGGACATTCATGTAGATGTCGGGATCGAAGGAGGCGGAGTTGATGGAGTCGAGGGGAGATGCGGGCGCGGCGGTAGGGGACGGCCGCGCCAGGGACGCAGGGGCCGCGGCCCCGGCGGCAGCGGATGGGTCGGTGTTGTAGAAGCTAGCAAGGAGGTCGCGCGTGCGCCGCGCCTTCTCGTCCATTGCCGGCGGTGCGGCGCCACCGGCTGTCGCCATATCGTTGAGCCTTCGCGGCGGGGCTCGCAGTCGGGACGCCGGAGAGAGACCAGAGGTTGTGGGAGTGAAGATGGAGAATGAAGGGGTGTTTTGGAAAGTTTCGTTTCCAAGCGTAATATCGCATATAGCTCTGTAATATTCGATATTATACAGGGGCTATGTTCAAAAAAAATTATACAGGGCTAAAGAAATGCAAACGAGAATACGAGATTATTCACTTTTTACTGTGTGTTTGTTTGTTTTTGCAACTGCAGGTAAGCTCAGTTCAGGGTTTTAAATCTAGCTCTTCGATTGCATACTGTTTAAAGCTTCTTTTTTCCTTAAAAAATAAAGCGAAGTTGTTTTAAGCTTGGTGCATAGGAGTATCGTGCAACATATTTCAATCAATCTTGTTATTGCTACATGTTGGTGTTCTACACATCCACGCCAACAATGCTCTGTCGTGTTTTCAAACTCTTGCCTGCTATGCTCACACTACCAATAAATACAAAATAGTAAAATTCACGATTCATCTGTAAAATGAATCATAATCGCATAATAGACATTGTATAAATACTTCCAATGACAAAAGGCTTGCTTTGTTGAGATTCTTTTTGAAATATAGTATAATAAATACAAATGTCATCCACTCACTCATGTGAATTTACATACATTATTGTTTCCCTCTTCTACCCTCTAAAATCTTATATGACTCCAGGGTATTAATATCACCATATATTATTAGATCTTTGAAATTCTTTTTATCATAGAACAACCAGTGACGACAACACGTTAGATTGTTTCCAACAATTATAATTAGCTGCTAGGTACCAAGGTATGTGTCACCGCCACGTCATTTAGAGATAGCACAAAAGAATATGCCTCCAACAATCTAACTTTAATATATCGTCCAAAGTTAGGCCAATCCTAAATGGGTCTCAATGGTAGTTTCATACGCATAAAATAAGCTAACATGGCATAATATAAATGAAGAGAGATATGACAAAAGTTTCATGGGATAAAATGAGTTTTATGGGGATGAAACTTGTTTACACTAATTTTAACACCTCACAACTTTTGGAAACATAGACATAAAACTCTCATTGATACTGACCTTATTGAAGATCACATAGGTCATACGGGATAGAAAGTGGGGATGGGTATGAGCGTGGCCTCATGATTAATTAACTCGGATTCCCCTATAGAGTTTTTTTTATGAAGAATTTAAGAGCCTCATACTTTGCTACCTATGTGGAGTAATACTTTTGTTTGTTCGAGGCTAACACTTATATTGCCTTGAATTAGGCCTGCCATGACCACATTCTCTCTTATCTTTAGTGGACACCTTCTAAAAAAATGGCATACTTAGGTTTAGTGGTGGATCTAGGATGAAAGTTCAAGAGGGGTTGAAGTCATCATCTTCAACCTCTAGCCTCTCATTCTCAAAACAACCATGCCAAAATTCTCGGAGGGTCTCTAGGGGGCTTGACCGCCCCCACCCCCCAACACACACACCGCTAGATCCGTCCCTACTTAGGTTACTATTTACCAGTTACCACACCACGTGCTCCATCCACCACTTTCGTCTTTTGCTACGTGGGACGTTGTTTCTTGTGTTGATATCCCATGAGGCCATTGTTCGTTGTGACGTTGATGTCACCCTACGAGGCCATTGCACAGTGTGACATGGATGTCTAGCGCCCAGGTGACCTTAGAGTAGCTCTGGTACTATTGTGAATGGAGATCGGAGGTGCGTTTTGCAAATTATACACCCTTATTCTCTCTCCATCAATGCAGCACCCCATAGCCCAAATTCTAAATGGCCCTGTTTGTTTCGCTGAAATTTGATTTATGCTGATTTGCTGTGAGAGAAAAACGCTGTTTGTCCGCTGAAAAGTATTGCTGAAGTAACTCAGATCCATTTGCACCGTTAGACTTTTGTCCCTGATTCTCAATGTGAGCATCAAGTGAGCAAGAAATACGAGCGAGATGACGACGACCATGAAGGTATTGAATGGGATTAACAACAACCTACATGCATCTTTTGCTTATTCAGCTTCTATCTTGAAGCAATTTTTTATATCTAAATGTTTGCATGGGTAAATTAGAATCATGCCTATATCTTTTTTTCCTAACCTATATTAAAGTATTCAACTATACCTGGATTATTGTCTAATAAATAGTAAATAGCAATCTACGGCTCAAATTCACTCTACACTATAATTTTTCACTTTATGTAAAAGAGTCAATCTAGAGTTGTTCCATCACTATCATTATTTCACATAAAAGCCTTGTTTGGCTGCACTCTGATCTACCTTAATCCACTGTACTAAGACAAATTTGAGGTGGATTGAAATGCAGTTAAACAAACCCTAAAAGAGTTAATCCGAAGTTGACAATATATGCCTCTCATATATGTTTGTTTAATAACCCCTCTCAGCTAGCAGTGGGCTAAATCCACACAATCTTAACACATGGTATATGGGTCATTATGGACTTAGTTTAAGTAAAGCTAGGATGTCACGATCCACGATGTTTGATCCATTCTCTCTCTTAGATCTCAAGTTCAATTTTGGCTTCTGAAAAAAGGTTCGATGCTCATATATTGTGCTCGGTTCGAATTTTCAGTTTGATGGTTGGAGTTTTGATCACATTGCAAAAGCAAAAGCTGAGACAGCTAGAGCCACAGAAGAAAATTCTCACATGGTACCATTGGACCTGTGCTCAAGCAGCTCGCGATCATCATGACGATGATGGACGAAGCAGCAGAGCTACTAGCCTACTACCCCCTCCAAGGCCTGGCGAGGGCGACGACCCGGGATCTGACAATCCCAAATTCCAACGCGCTGAGCGGCGTCAGCTGCCAACGCCGCCGCCGCAGCTCAAACGTGCGCCGCAACCACGTGTCCAGCCGCACGCCCCGCGCCAGCGGCATCTGTAAAGCCCCCCCTTGCCGCCGCCCCGGCGTCCACCCCGCCCCCGCGCTTTTATTCCCCACTGCACCGCATCTCCCCCTCCCCTACGATGCCGTTGCGCACCTCCTCTCTCTCACCGCCCCGAGACCCCCACGCTTCGCTCTCCGCCCCCGAACCGTGGCGCCTCCCCCCGCTGCCTCCGCCGCCGCCGCGGCGATGCCACTCGCGGCAGAGCCCGACGACACTCATGGGGAAGGGGAGAATCAGCAGCTGCTAATCACGACGAAGGGAGGTCCCGGGCTTGAGGGACTGGTGGTGGGGAGCTACTGCCACGATGTGCTGATCCGGGGCGGGCGCGTAGTGGGGGAGACGCTCGGCGGGGCTGCGGCCTTCGTGTCCAACGTGCTCGACGCCGCCTCGCCCTGGGACGCCGCGCTCAACGGGACAGCCCCCTTCGTCGTTGTGGCCAAGGTGGGCCACGACTTCGTCTACGCCTCGGCGCCGGCGCCCGCGCGGCATCCGCCTCTGCTCTGCGCGTCGCCGACCACCTCCTTCCACGCCCAGTTCTCGGAGACCGCCGCCTCGGCGCACGCCCCCGACCGGGAGCTCCGGCGCGTGCGCGCCTGCGACCCGATCTACCCCGCCGACCTTCCCGACCGCCGCTTCGCCTACGGCCTCGCCGTCGGCGTCGCCGGGGAGGTGCTACCGGAGACGCTCGAGCAGATGATTCGGCTCTGCCGCGCGGTGCTCGTGGACGCGCAGGCGCTGATCCGGGCGTTCGACGGCGACGGTGCCGTCGGCCACGTGGCGCTTGACGATACGCCGTACGCGCGGCTTCTGCCCCGGGTGGCGTTCGTTAAGGCGTCGTCGGAGGAGGCGCCATACGTCGGGGTGGAAACGGCGAGGCGGTGGTGCTGTGTGATCGTCACGGAGGGGAGGGACGGGTGCCGGCTGTACTGGAACGGTGGGGAGGCGAGCGTTATGCCGTTCCCCGCCGTCCAGGTGGACCCTACTGGCGCCGGAGACAGCTTTCTCGCGGGTTTTGCAACCGGACTGCTGTGGGGGTTGTCGGCGACGGACGCCGCGCTGCTGGGGAACTTCTTCGGCGCCGCTGCCGTATCGCAGGTCGGCGTGCCCACCTTCCATTCCAAGATGTTGCAGGTTTGCACCATTTCACTTGTTCAGCTCCTTGTACAGTCGGATTGGGAAGAATCATTCTGTTCATGTTGATCAACCATTTTTGTTAAATGCGTCATTTATCAGAGGCAAAATCGTAGCTTTAACAGACGGCAGCCTCGAAAATACACGATTTCATCGATGGCATTTCCAAATAATTTAGACCTATGCTGGAGTAGTATTTGGCTGTTAGGCAAGATTTGAAGAGATGTGATATTTTGAAAATGAGTCTCGAAGACTTTCAAATGCTGACTTCTGACGATATTATCAAGGGCTGAATCATCTAGCCAGTAGCCACCATTTATTCAGGTGTCTTTGAGATTGAAGGAAATAGCAGCCATAAAAGAGCATGATGTGTTAATCGGCAAAAAAAAAGAGTGTTGGGTGGAACTGTAGGAGTATCAGTTACAAGTCATCCAGTTTATAAGTAATACCTAAAATGAGAACAATGAGTATATATGTCTCGTGTGAAGATTCCACTCTAGTTATGATCCTTCTATTTACGGTGTGCCTGAAAATATATTTTGTGGCTAGCATTAGCGTATATCTTGGCCTATCACTTCTCGTTCAATTTATGTGGATGGTGACTTGGTTGGTTAGAAGAACATATTCTAATTCTAACATCCACGATATTCTGTCTCTTCTTTTTCTGAGAACCACTGATCCAGTTATTAATTGTCATACGCACCCAAAAAAAAACATTTGTCACATTCACACCTTATACTCAAGATCATTCACACCTTAGCATCTGTTACCAGTTTCCAGGGTTAACTTTTTTTTTGTCCTGTTTCCAGGGATTAAAAATCTTGATTTTTTTTGTAAGAGTAAATAGTTACTATCTATTTAGTTACACATTCTTTGTTGCTCGACAGTTGAATAGAACTTCATTAATATTAGTTAGGGATATATGCCTCAACATTGTTGGCTTGTATTTGGTGTACCAAATGTTTCACTCCTATGGAATTACTGATCCTTTTCTTATTTCAACTGGGTGCAGGCAGTTAAAGAAATACTTGAAGAGAAGACAACAAAACGATATAGTCCATGTATAAACGGCACTAATTTTACCTTGGAGAAGTCAAATATGCACAATGAGTTACACGCAGCTCTCCAAGAAGCGGCGATGCTGATGTCTGAACAGCAGCAGGCTGATAAGGCGAACGGCAATGGTGGGGATATTTGCTCGCCATGGGAACTTACTTCACAGTGAAGCAGTCAGACGCCAAACTGAAAGTTTGTGGCAAAATAACCCCAGCACTGCAATACATATCTCACATTGAGGTCTGTAAACACGTTGCCAACAAGTGGAGAAAGTTTGTACATTAGAGCATCTCACTCTAGAGTCATCTCCAAGAGCTTTTCTAAATCTCACTCTCTAAATTATTATTTGTAGAGTCATTTGCATAAAAATCGTTTTCTATATCTTTTTACTCTCCAACAGTTTTTCTATATCTCATGCGCACTCTAGAGAGCCATTCTCGTCTTCTATTTTTGGCTAGCTAAAAATCCGGAACAGAAGATGGCTATATTTGAATGACCAATTAGCCAAGCTGTTGAAAAGGAAGTTTTTCACCAAATCTCTATTCCTACCATTTAGAAAGTATATAGAAAGGATATGGAGAGTGAAAGGATATGGAGAGTTCTCTCGGAGACGCTCTCAGTACATATAGGCTCTCCCCGGTTTTATACTATATACTGCTGGTGAGGCCGTGAGGGTTCGCTTCTACGTGCTATTGCTAATGAGAAAATGAAAACAAGTGAGTAGTTGTCGAGCTATGGCGCTTGTACGCATCATGCTTTCTACGCTGAACAAGTGTGCCGTTTTGAGCTTCCGGGCATTCGTGCGGTTAACCTTTTACCATTCTATGTCGACTTTTTACCAAGATCTAGCGTTTTAATCCTGGCTGAACTTACTGAACTGAGAACGGCCAACACACAAGTTAGCACGTCACCGATGTCGGAATTCGCTTTCAACTTAGCATTTTGATTTTGGTTACTGCAAACAGAACCAATTGAAGTAACAGAAATTATTTCATTCAACGTCTTTGGTGCCATGATAAGCTCTACACATATACACAATTCTGATTCAAAATCACTGGCCAGTTAAAAAATGATTCACAACAATAGGCAGACCATCTTGGATTAGGCGTTTAAACTTAATGAATAATGCTACATCCGCAACGAAGAAAGTCGAGTAATTGTGGCCGAGACAAAGTCAGCCATAGAAAATTTCCAGTTCTCTGTACGCTGGAGATAGACATCCAATGTTACCCCTCTTAGTTTGTATCTTGCTGCAACTCCTTGCAACAATGAATAAGTTACCAAAGCCACAAGCAGACCCATTGGTAGGGGCCGCAATGCCTCGTCACAAAATTGCTTGACCTCAGGTATAACTGCCTCAACTGGTGCAGAAAGAAGCTGTTTAGTTTCGATCGTTTAGAGACCCTGAATGAAATTATTAATGAAGCTGTTCCAGTCGTTAGTGTGGTAGCATACAAAATAAAGTACACACTAGACAAGAGGAGTAGCAAGACTGCAAGACTCCTCACCACCACATTCTTACACAAAGCCAATGCTCGACCATATGCTTTCTAGCTGTTGCTGTAGAGAAGGTGTTCAGAAGCAAGAAATGAATAGAACATGATCGAATATGTGAGTTGGCCGTACAAGGTGCTTACAGTTGGGCATCAGTAGATGTTCTTTTTGATTTGTGCTTTGACTTCTTTTCTTTCTTCTTATGCCTGTAGAGATGCGTGGATTGCAAAAATGAGCATGGTGAGTTATAATAAACCATAAATATTTTTTTTAAACGGCTAATAAACCATAAAGATGCTGGCACAAAGTATGAAAGAAACGAGAGAGCCTACTCATCATGTGAGCTTGGATCCCAACAATGTTTCAGCTTGCGGTCAACGTGCCTCATGTCCTTAACAGTAGGTATATTAAGCTGGTCAACCTGCAAGATGCACAAAGAATACAAAGAGAATGACAAAGTTACAGTAGCTATCAAAATGATTATGATATATAGTAACAAAGAATAGCAGAGACATGCCCATATGGTTACAAAATAACGAGCAGAATTGGCATACTAGAAGAGTCTTCTATATTTTCTACCATATTAATGACAGATGGATTTTAAATTTCTAATCTTTAATTTTTGTAGGATTTAAACTCATATTAGCTCACTAAGCCTAATGTTGCCCAGCTTTAAGTTTCCAACATAGTTCTGTGGGCCCAATTGCAAGATCTACACCACAATTGTCAATGGGGCTAGCTCTTCTATGAGTATGCACTAAAGACATTTTTTAGGGGGCACAAAAGTCAAAAGGGAATCTTAACAATAATAAAAATAAATAAAGGCCTCTTTACTGCAAAGACAAAATTTCTCACTACCTCGTGGGGTCAGTCTAGATGGAACCTAAATCGAGCTTCTATATTTTTGTGCCAAACAGAAATATTTTACTTGGATAAAATACACCTCCGCCAAAGGGCGCCTAGCTCAAACGGTTAGGTGACCCAACGGCACTCCTCAGTGAGTTCGACTCCCCGTGGGAGCGAATTGCAGGCTGAGGTTAAAAAAATCCCCTCGCCCGTCCCCATGTCCCAAAGCGTCAGGATGGGGGCGGGGGTTCGGGGGTTTTCTCGATCTGTGTGAGAAGATCTTCTTCTTAAAGGGAAAACCCGGGGGCCATCATAACCCCCCGCAGGTCGAGTTTTTTTTTAAATACACCTCCTATGCATAATAAGATATCATAGTGTAGTACAACAATACCATAGTGGCACTGAATATTAAAATTTGGTAAAAAAATATCTGTTGTGCTTTGTCTTGCTGCCTAAATAGGAGTTACTCTCAGTCTCAGTGTTCAGTATTTGGCTCTCGTGAGCCTTTTAGTTTACCATTGTGAATTCTCTTTAAAAAGAGACCACATGTAAGTCCTACCCTTTACTAGCAGTGACTAGTGATAAAAAAAACTCCACTTATCATGATTTAACCATCAGCAGATACATCTGACTCTGGTCTTGATGTTTATCTTGCATGACTCCAAAATAACATGGGGTTTTAGAGATAATACATATCTGTTAGATAGATCAACAGCTTTCTGATAGTTTATACATGTTCAACTAACCATCAAGTTTTGTAACCATCCTGTGTAACACAAAATTTATGCTAGGCAACTGAAGCATGGCATCAGTACTTTTCTTAGTGATAGATTATATCATTGGAAATTAATACTGGCACAACCCACATGTACATAAACTTTATTTCCCAAAGCCAAATCCTTACCAAGTAATTGATTGTGTTGATCGACTGAACAAACTGTTCGACCGGACAATCAGAATGTTGCCTTGAGAAGATAGTTTCCAAGTATCTGCAACCAATCAATGAATTTAGTAACATGAAAACAATAAATTAGAGAAAGCAACCACATATTGAAACACAAAACGATGACATATCGTATTCATAATAATTCAGATCAAATGTTCATGACCTTTCAAAATTGACGACCCTGAGAAGATCATTGGACTTGTGAAGGGCAGCCAGTGCCAACTGCAAAATTTGAAAAGAAGTAGATAATGAGATCAGTTGAAAAATAGAAGTTTGAGCAAGCTAAGCTTGAGAAGTATGCACGTTGGATGCTTTCTCAATCAGAAACAAAACCAAAGCAGTAAATTCAACAAAATGGTAATGATACCATAACTAACAAGAGTTAGTGTAAGGTTACCTGCCCAGGAGTATAGAGAAGAGGTGCATCAGTCAACATCATTTTGTCAACATGGGATATAGCAGCCTGGCGCAACTCCTGCAAGCCAATCAGAGGTAAGGATGAACACTGTACAACTTGCAGAATATGGCGTAGTAATTATTTTGTTTCTAAACTGAGAGACCATACGGTGTCTAATCCAGCTTGGAAATTCACAATTCCTCATCTAATGATGGTTGGAGTACACTGTTTTAGAAAATATATAAATAAATAGTGTATCTTCACTGCAGAGAATAGCAATCTTATGACTCATGAAATCATGTGCCAATATTCAAATAAAAGCAGTTCCTCTGACGTCAAAGTCCCGGAAACTTGGTCACTGACACATGGACCCCAGTGCCCGAGTTTCAACGTCAGTGACCAAGTCTCGGTGACTGATCCTATCACACATTCAATTGTTGTGCTTTACTGAAGGGAAAAGAAGTTAATGTCCAATAGTGAGCCATGATAAATACTCCATCCCAAAATAACTACAGTTTTAGAGTTTGGATTTTGTCCCAAAAAAAAGAGTACAGTTTTATCCTTTAGCCACCTAATGGGGCCCACTTAGTGAACTGAATCGGCATCGGAAAAAGAAACGCATGCCTTATCTACTCAGCATACGCAAGTCATCACAGGCTCCCATCGGCCTCTCAGTCGCCGCTCCTCTCTCTTCCACCTTCCCTCCACGCCCCTCCCTTCCCTTCCCTAGCCCCTTCCCTCCCCTCAGATCCAGGCAGCAAGTATGGTGGCACAAGTGTTGACAATCACCAGAGCAAGCGGATGCTGTTGTGCGGTGTTTGCTGCTGCAGCAGGAGGTTGAGTTGGGGCATGAAGCGAAGCGGCCGATCTGCACCCGCAGCCTCCGGTTTAGACATGGGAGAGGTTGTAGCCATGGGCACGGCTTTGGGGAGATGCCCACCGGCCATTCGGGCCCTCAACCCCTCCCTTCCTATTATGCTCCTCTACTGCTCGAAGCCCGTGTTGGAGGGATACGGCATGCCAAGGGAATGCACAGGCGTTTCCTTTTAAATTGTGCATGTGCATTAAATTCCTTTGGGAACCGAAAAGGCAACCAAATCTACATGGCAGCAAGTGCTCAACTAACTAGGGGAACATGCGTCTTACCCACCACCACTAATTGGTCCGAAAAAATCCTAAAACTTCAATTATTTTGGGACGTATGGAGTAGTAGATAGCTGCAAATTGTGTTTCATCTACTATGTACATCTTTGGCACCCGACTGAGTTTTCCTGATTAGATTTGTCCTATTCCATCAGTGTTGAGATCGCCGAATATGAAATACAAACACTGTAACCAAGATGATTCAATGTTTGCCCTTGTCACATGCAGAATTATTAACATGGTAGTATTCTAACTAAAATTATAAACTTCTAATCTAATTCTAAAGGTGTGAACTAATGTTACAATCTTGGTACTAGTACCATCAACCCTGTGCAATTACAATACTAAATGTGTCATAATCACTCACAATTTCTAGATCGATTTCTGGCATTTGTAAGAGACTGCGACAAAGAAAGTAGCTGGTAGAAAATATTTTGCACATGAACATGGTTTACCTAAGCTTGTGCACATTGGAACACATAAAAGAAGAAGAAGAAGCAAAAACAGCAAATGTTACCTTCAAACGTTGGAATGGACCATTACCTGCCCTGCAAAAATCCTTCATACAAAAAGCAATAGTATTAGACAATAAACAGTTCAGTGGAAAGATTGAACTGTGAAGAATTTATAACAGTGAATGCCATGGAACTCCTAAAACAAAGCAACACAAGAAGCTCTACTTGTTAATTTACAGCACAAAACAAGTACAAACTTACCTCTAGGTCATCAATAAATCCTTCAATCGATCGATATGGAGCGTAAACAATGAGATCAAAATCTAAAGTCTGGAAGCCAACAAGAAACTTAATGTCATATTCAGGTTGCTTGGAGGTACTATAAAAAAACAAAATGTGGAAGTGGCATACTTTAAGAAGAATCATCTCATTATTTAGAATGATCTGGTGGTCCTGCTGAATTCCTTTACCAAGTTCCTCAGCAGAAACATGGTTTTCTTCCACTTTGCAAGAAGCATATACACATGTTAACCTGTGAGATGAAAGTTGGTTAGCTGGAATTTCCAGACAAAACACTAAATACATTCAGGAAATCAACCTTGAATGTATAGGCATAGAACAAGACACAGCACACTCATAGTTTTCATCAAGACACACGCATCACTCATCACATAATATGCTTAAGAGAACTTAGCTAAGCATGAGTACAGTAGAAATCAACCTTTACATTCACAAACATAGAACCATAATTGTTATCATTATTACTGCTTAGTGCCCTGCTTACATAATATGCTTTGGGTGATGCTCCATTACAGACCATTGTAAATAGAATCTCTTGAAGTATATTATTGCTGTAGCCTGCAAAGCAATAAGCAACCATGAGCAACCAAAATCATAAGTTCACAAAGGTTCCATCTTGGAAGAGGGGATTCTTTACCTGGATTTTGTGAGGGAACTTGAATGCAGCGCATACTTCCTGAATCTTCTGCTCATAAAATACCCGTGTCAATTGCTCCTCTTCGTAAGACAGAGGCTTTATACCCGAGCTACCCTCAACTGAACCAAAGAAAACTATTTCAACACGAAGAAAAATCATGAAAGCACAGTTCTTTGGAGTGAACCGGTGATGCATATTTCATATTTTGGAGCGCTACAAATAGCGCGGGTGAGTTCTAAACCAACCAATGTCGCATACCATGATCCGGTGCGGGCTCTGGGTAGGAGACCGAGCCATCAAGCAGGTCCACACTAAGCCGCGTCGTCCCATACTTCACAACGAGCACGACAGGAACGATGAGTAAACTCGGCATTAGCTAACCAAAACCGCTGATCAAGTAGATACGGCTAAGCAATGCGACCCAACCTGCGCAAGGGTCTGAGCAGCCCGCTGGTTTGCCGCCGCCCACCTCTCCATCTGCGAAGCACAGCATAAGGGCGCGCGCGTGCGCGCCGTATTGTCAGAAGGTCAGAAAGGCGACGAGACCGTGACAAAGCATAGGAAAGCAAACCCTGAGCGCCCGGGCTCACCAGATCGTGCGACTGGAAGATCCACCTCTCCCGTTGGGTGGAGGTCCGGAAATCAGCCATCTTTGCGCTCCTCCTCCTTCAGTCACCCACAGCCGATCGAACCCTCGGTTCCGACAAGCGGCGAGTATAGCGGGACACCCACCACTTAGAGAGCAGGTGGCTGTGGAATGAAAAGGATGACACAGCAGCAGGGTGCGCTGTTTGGGCGCCAAGAGCGGTGGCGGGCGGCGGGCGGCGGAAAGGCGCGCGGCGATGGGTGGCAACGGCGAGCGCCGGGGAGGTGGTGATGGTTTTGCGGTGGGGGAAGGGAGAAGAGAACGGAGTCGGTCTTTCCACGTGGCGCGGATCCGGCCCAGCCCAACCGTCTGGCCTGTTTTAGGCCCAGTAAGATCTTGGAGCACACGCGTTTCGCTCTGGCCGACCCTGCTGTCTGTCTCTGACTCTTATCACGCTTACCGTGTTGAACCGAGCTCCTTCCGCCGTCTCCGGCTTTCCGCTCCCCTCTAGTCGCTCCTTCCGCCGGCGAGTGGCCGTCGCTGCAACGAGGAGAAGAGAGCGGAGATGAGCGACGAGAGGGTGAAGGCGGAGGCGCTGCAGATCCTGGGCCTATTCCAGGTGCTCCCCCGCCTCGTCGTCTTCGACCTCGACTATACCCTCTGGCCCTTCTACTGGTCCGTCTCGTCTCCTTCCTCCCGCCCTCTCTTCTCAGTTCTCCCAACCCAGCTTCGCTGGTGAGAGGTCTCCAATTTGATTACCGCCGCTAGGTGTTCCTTGTTTGTTCGATTGGCTGGTTTCTGATTTCGACAGCGACTGCCGGTCCAAGAGAGATTCGCCGAGCCTTTTCAAGCACGCCAGGGGCATCATGTACGCCCTCAAGGAGAAGGGGATCGACATGGCGATTGCGTCTCGCTCGCCCACCCCGGACATAGCCAAGGTGTTCCTCGACAAGTTGGAGCTCCAGTCCATGTTCGTCGCCCAAGTAAGAATCCTTATTCCTTCCTCAGCCAGCCGGGCCTAATTTTCGTGTGAGTTGTTGTTTCCCTTTCTGCATATAAGAATTCCTTGGTGCGCCATAGTTCAGGCAAATTCTTCTTAGAAAACAGGGCGATCGATAACATATGAAACTGGAAATGGCCCTTATGTGGCTATACCGCTATATGCAAGCTAAGAGCAATGCAAATGCGTTACTTGTGCAGGTTTTTGAGGGTTATTGGGTTAGTTTCAAAGAGCACATTGGTAATGAACAACTTATATCAAAATATTTTTTGTTAATTGGCCACAAAGAAAATAATGAAATCTCAGTCCAATTCTAGAATTTGCAAATCTCAGTCCATCTTAACTAGTACTACTATACTGTAGTCCTATCTTCCTCAAAAAGTGCACATATTGCTGTAATATTCTAGGAGCAACTCTAGGCGTTTCCTATAATTAACTTGATAAACCAATAAGTTTAGCGAGTTAACAAAAGAAGTAGCAACCTTAATTTATTTCCCTCTCCAATAGTTTCCTATACTAGCTTCCTAAATGATTTTGCATTGAGAACCCCGAACTATTTTTAACCAACCAAACCTTTTTGAATTGTTTCTTTGTCTCTTACCACTTTCTACCCTGGAATCCTTTATTTTCTTAATTTACTTATGCGTCCAGTTTATTCTGATCTCCCGAGAAAAACGCCGCACGGGGAGCGGATATCAACTGCGGAAACTTATGAGTTGGAGGGGCAATTTACCAAGTTCTTACTTTTAAGTAGTAGTTTTACCAAACTGTTGTAAGGATCTTTTTTCTCTTTTTGCCAGAAAATCTAAGTAACGAGTTCATTTAGGAAACTCCTGGAGTTGCTCTAAGATAGTGGCCTATGGTACAGTAAATTCGGTTATGTAACTATCAAAAAATTCCATGCCCAATGATATGTTCCTTTAATGATCCTGCACGCCACACGATTCTGTGTTCCTTGCTCAAGTTTTTTTTTCTGGATCAGATACCTTTTCTGGTGTAAGAACAGAATGCTGAATACTATATTATTTTCTCTTGGTCATTGTATGAAGGAAATATTCTCCAGCTGGACTCACAAGACTGAGCATTTCCAAAAGATCCAGAGGAAAACTGGAATTCCCTACAAATCCATGCTTTTCTTTGATGACGAGGACAGGAATATTGATCCGGTAATCACTTATTCGCATTGTGCTCGCCTCATTCTAGCTATATCCAAAATTTAGAATATATTTTCAGCGACTTTCTGCTATATTGCTGGAGGCTATGGATATTTAGACGTGCTAATTGATTCCATGCTCAAGTATTCATTATTGGAAGGGATGCGTAGCTTACTTCATATAGAACAAAAACGTAAGAGTTAGCTGAATTATATGTTAGTGGGTCTGCTCGTTCTTCTCTGTACTATATGATTAAAAACAATATTTTGGCTTTATGTGGATCAAATGGCTTGATTATCGAGGAAACACACAAAATAACTACATACGTTTAGGTATAGGCTATTTGGGTTCTTGCATACACCTTGGTTCCCCAAAACACAGCACTCCTCTATATGGCATAAGTATGTAGGTGTGGTCATATTGTAATTGCGCTTGCATACATGTCCATCTCAATTGCATGTATGCTCGCACAGAAGTTACTTTTATGACACTCCTGGCTTCACGTCACCTTGACTGATAAATATATTCATCTCTTGTTTTCAGGTATCAAATTTGGGGGTGAAGAGTGTTTTAGTAGAGAACGGGGTGAACCTTGACATGTTTAAGCTGGGTCTCAGTAACTTTGCAACTAACTATGCTGCCTCCAGCAGAAAGGAAGACAAGTAACCTCGAGGAGAAGTGATACGTTCGAAGAAAATACCCTCAAAACATTGTGCTTGAGTTTCCTGTAATCAATTGCCCCTATTCATGGACAATGTGTTGCTGAAGGATGACCTCACAAACTAGCTATTGAACTGATGCAACGCTTGTCTAATATTTATTTGAAGGCAAAGCATCGCGTGTCTTTATTTCATGTGCCAAAACAATATATTGGAGCATCTGTTTTGTTTTATTTTGTGTCAGAATGGTGGCCCTATGGGATATCTATAGTCGCCATAGGTCATTTCATAGCTGGGGCTGCGGTATTTGTAAGCAAGGATGGAGTGGAGTGGTGCTGCACGATTGATGCCACTTATGCCATCTAGATTGGGATCTTCATGCTCCTAATTGTTTACCTAAGTTTTAAGTTGGTAGCAATGCCGATTAATCTGATGGAACAAGTGTGACCTCGACTGTCTTATTTGAGGCTGCTCAGACTATCGGATTCGTTGCCTTAGCTTGTTGATTGCTCGGATCATTCTGTAACACCGATCATAGTTGTTTCTAGTCAGATCACATGTTTGTAGAAGGGGTTTTGACCTCTTGGCCCATGTGCTTGGTTCATTTAGGGCCCGTTTTGCAACAAAAAAACGTTTCACGTTCTTACGAGAATCGGTAGAATCACTATCAAATGGGTTAGACGAGAAACATTTGACTCGAAAATCACTAGAAACGTTTCTCATTTTTATGCCTAGCAAGGAGAAACACCTGTTAGGTTTTGCATGATTCTGATTCTTGTCTCCCTTTTGTATTAGCAACCATAATTTTTATTTAGTTTTTTTTAAGCGAAATAAGTTAAAATAGGTTGCATTTAAGTTATTCTTTGCTCACAAAAAGTTCTGAATTCTTTTGAATCAGAATCCAGCTTACTAGCCAAACAGTTTCACGAAATAATTCTGATTCATCATCAGAAACGTCTCTTGAGAGAATCTGAATCCGAAACGTTTCTACAAGAATCTGAAACACTACCAAACGCACCCTTAGTTTTTTCCCCATTTCTCTAACTAGCATTTACATTGTTGACCCATCAAGTCTCGAGTGCTTGCAATTTTAAAGGGTGAACCAAATGAAGACATGACAGTCCAATCACTCCACCGTCTCCACGACTTCATCATTTTCGCCTACTCTGTGCTTAGTGACTTCATATGCTCGATAATATATGGTTCAGTAACTTCATAAAATTGGGTACATCAAATGGGGTGTTACTTGAGTTTTGATACTAGTCAGAATCAGCCCTAATTTTTTTAGCCATAGAACAATATTTTTCACTCACAACAAATCAGGTCTTCAAATCAACCGCAACAGCAATAAGTCCTGCCGACGAACAGGGCCATGGTATCACCGAAATGACTAGTGTTGGCTGGTGTGGCCAATGTTAACTAGTACTGCCATGTATAGACGTTGCGCTGGGACGGAACTACTTATGTATCGGTCTAGATCTAGTCATCTGTACGATACTAGAATGACAATTTGTTTGATGGAGTATGAACTAGAATGACAACCTGTTCAGATACATCTGGACGATATTTTCTTAGAGAATATTTTTCTAAGAACACTGTCTTTGGTTTATGGCCTTATGGTACAACTGGTTCATATTTAGGATAAAAATGTTCCTGGTTCAGATTCAAGATAAAATGTTTCAAGATCCATCCATGAGAAAAAAAATTCCACCTAATAAACAATTTAAAACAAAAATATTCCGCCACCCATCGTTTTTAGGGAAAGAGTAAATAAAAAATTATATAGGATTAATAAAAACTACTAAAAAAGAGGAGAAGGAAAGAAATAATAAAAATCTGAAAAAAAATGTTTGAACAATTAACGGCCCATGTCCAGTCCAGCAGAAGGCCCGTGCGGTTGCGCTCCCCTCGGCCGAACAGCTCCCCACTGGGCTATCGTTCTCCCCGCGCGTGCTCTCTCTCTCTCAGCGCGACGACTACCGCCGCAGCCGCCGCCGCCACCGACACCGCCGGCTTACGCCAGATTCCCAGGTCTTCGTCGGCCCTGTCTCCGGCAACGAGAACCCAACAAATGGTATGCCCGCCCCTTCTCTTCCCTTCCTGCTGTGCGAAACCGAGCAGCACCCAAAGCCTAACCTAAGCTATTTGGCCCGCCCCTTCTATTCACTTCTGCTGTGCGAAACCGAGCAGCACCCAAAGCCTAACCTAGCTAGTTGGTTATTTGTAATGGGACCTGATCTAATTGCAAGCGTATACATGAATGATGCCTACTAACTTCGATTCTCTTTGCCTCCAAAACTCATGAGCTGCTTGCTAGCTGCAGGAAGTCTGGGTTTTATTTCGGCACATTTTAGGACATTCAATTGGTTGAACCAATTTGGTTCAGAGCAAAATGTTCTATTCTTGCCAATGCCACAGAACGAGTAAACGTTAATTTAACCTGTGAAACTCTGATAGCCAGGGTAGAATTACTTTAGGGCACCCTGGATATTAAGACACTATACATTTCCTCACTGAATTTTTGAGTAAATAATTTAGGAAAAAGTCCATTTTTGGCCCTCCAACTATGGCTGCAGTTTGTTTCTAGCCCTCTAACTCGAAAACCAGACACACGCAGTCCTTAACTTTCAAAACCGTTTAAAATTGGCCCTCGCGCCCATTCAACCATGGTTTCGGCCCAGTCAAACCCGCCACGACCGCGGTTTCGGCCCGGTCTCCATGTCTGACGAGCCGGGTCCATGGTGGCGGCGTCACGGGCTCACGGCAGGTTGAGGAACAGCGCCGGGTCGGTGTCGGCGAACACGCTGGTGCCCTAGTAGGACCCCAGGTCGCAGCCCGACGGCCACTTGAAGTGGCTCGGGTCCGGCAGCAGCTCCTTGCCGCCGCCAACGCCGCCAACATCTGCTTAGCCCGAGCCGGGCGCGTAGACGTGTCGTCCCGTGAAAACACCGACGACGACGCCCAGAGCGCTTCCGGCGCGATCGTCTCCGTGGCGACAACCGCTATCGCGGGTCGCTCCGTCATGGTCGGCTTCCCGGCGGCAACCGTCGCCGCTGCTGCAGCTTCCGTCGACGGTGCCGTGTTCGCGACGCCGGCGGTGGGCGGTGGAGGCGTCCGTCTTGGTCTTGGCGCGTCCGGTCCGGCGGCGACGACGCGGCGGCGCTTTTGGAGTTCTTGGACCGCTTCGTGTTCTTGGGTGAGGCCGACGTCGCCGAGGACGAGGATGAGGAGCTGCTCTTTGCTTTCTGGGTGCCGCCCGACGGGGGCGTTGCGGAGGGACCAACCCTTGGTCCAAGAGGCGGCTCAACCCGCGCATACCTCAAGTCGTACACCGGAGGAGATCGACGCCATGGAGTGGGAGTCGCCGGAGTCGGCCATGGCGCTATGGAGCCCGCATTTCACGTGGCTTATCGCCTCCGTGCTTTCGCCATGAGCGCGCCGGCTCTGCTGCAGCGTGCTCGAGCCCTCGCCACGACCGGCTGGCCCGAGTGCCCGCCAAGATAGCCGCCGCAACATCGCGGGCGTTTTTCCACTTCAGCAGACGGCGTGGCGCCGCAGCGGCGTGAGCCGCAGATCATTCAAGCGACTCGACATGCTCGACGCGGTGGCCCGGGAGAGGGAGCGCCTGGACGAGCTCTTCTCCAGAGAGTCGGCCACGCTGGTCGCCATCCACGAGCGCACGCGCTCGGTCGTTTCATCGCGGGGAGAGAAGGGAAGCAGACTCCTCCGTACTTTCTTCTTGGCCGCACTTTCTTCTTCACCGCCGCTCCCGCCATGGCCCACTCGCCCCGCCGCATGCCGCCGCCGCGGGATGGCCCCCGCCGTGGCGCTGCCGCTGCGCGCCGCCGCTGCCCGGCCCATGGTCGCCGCCATGTGCATCTCCCCCGATGCCGCCGCTATGTTGCGTGTTAAATTGGACGAGCGAAGAGGTCGCGCCGGAGAGCCGCCATGGCCGGCCGATGCGCGACCCGAGAGGCGACCATGGCTCGCCGTGCCCTACGTCGCCGAGCCCCATGCGCCAGTAGGCCGCGACAGATAACATGCTCCCGAAGCTCGACGAGACGCCGTCGCTGCGTTGCTATTGCCACCGTGAGCGCGCTCGGCCTCCTTCTCTCGCCGCGCCGCCATGCGAAGCGCGCCCCGGCCCATCCTCGAAGGCCTGCCGGTTCTTCCTCGCGCGCCCGACCATGAAGCGCGAGGTCTGGAGAGGCCGCACCCGCGAGCTCCGATGAGACGTCGTCGCTGCGCTGGCCGCCGCTCCTCTCCAGGCCCGGTTGCGCGCGCCCCGGGCGCCTACCCCCCACGCCCCCACCCACCGGATCCGCGCGCCCCTCTCCCGGCGGCTGCTCCCATCGTCACCATGGCGGCGCAGGCGCCCATGAGTGCCAGCGCCGCCGCAAGGGAGCCGCCAACACACAGACTTCCAGCCAGGCCTCCCTCCTCTACAGATGGAGACCGGGCCGAAACCGCGGTCGTGGCTGGTTTGACTGGGCCGAAACCATGGTCGAATGGGCGCGAGGGCCAATTTTAAATGGTTTTGAGAGTTAAGGGACTGCGCGTGTCTGGTTTTCGAGTTAGAGGGCTAGAAACAAGCTGCTGCCATAGTTAGAGGGCCAAAAATGGACTTTTTCCAATAATTTATAGTGGGATTGATTTTTTGAATGCAGCAAGTCCTTTTGTTCCTGCATTTCATTCACTTTTGGGAGCATGGAGCTCTGTTTCAAGGGTCTAGTTTATGTTTCGGAGGCAAGGCACATACCCCATATGTTCCTTATTCCACAGCCCAACAGAAATACGCACATAAGAGCCCATAGTTGAAAGTAGAGGACTAGAGGTGTATGAGATTCAAATCATGACAAACCTTTGTGTGTGTGTGTGTGTGTGTTTACATCCACAACCTGTCTGTGAGCTTAAGTAACTGTAGCATTTAGTTTTCTTTTGTACTCCCATCTAGCAGTTTTCATGGCGTTGATTAGCTTAGTGGCTAAGAAGTACAAGTCTCTTTTT